CGAGAAGATCGACGTCACCAAGGATGAACACGGTAGGATCCTCACCCAGAAGGCTAAGTGTGCTTTGTGCGGCAAGATTTTTCAAGCTCATCATAAGAGCGGCACCAACCACCTCAAACGCCATTTAGATAAACACAACAAAGGCCAGACTCCTCAAGGTGATATCCGACAATCTATGATTTCTCAATCCTCCTCTTCTGGTAGTCTCGGTAGTTGGAACTATGACGCTGCCAGAGCCAGGAAATGCGTAATCAGGTTTATCATTCTTAAAAACCTTCCTTTTAAATTAGTAGAAGATGATGAATTTGAAGATATGTTTAGAGATGGTTTTTATCCTGCATTTAAAAAAATTTCTCGTCAAACCTGTCAACGTGATATTTTAAAATATTATCAGCAAGAACAAGAAAAAATAATTTCTTATTTTAAAAATTTAAACTGTAAATTTTCTTTAACTTCTGATATTTGGACATCTAGAGCACAAACTGGATATTTATGTATCACAGCACACTGGATTGATGAAAATTGGCAAATGTTTAAAAGAGTTGTTTCTTTTATTGCAATAGAAGAGTCACATACTGGTGCTAATGTTGCAAATTTAATAATTGAAGAACTTATGAAATTAGAAATTTCAGAAAGAATATTTTCTCTTTCACTAGATAATGCAAGTAATAACAATGTAGCTGTTGATTTTATCAGATCATCTTTATCATTGCCATGTCATGGTGATCTTTTTCATATTAGGTGCATCTGTCATATTTTAAATTTAATTGTTCAAAGTGCATTTACTGAAATTAAACCCATGATAGAAAAGGTTAGAACAGTTGCTTACATGCATAGTGCTTCTGAACAAAGACTTAAAAGATGGAAACAATTTTGTAAAAGAAAAAATGTAAAGCCTAGACTAATTCCAAAAGATGTTGACCATAGGTGGAATTCCACATATGCAATGTTAAGTGTAGCAATAGAATATAAAGACATTATAACTGATTTTATAAACTATTATGCTTCTAGTTCTAGTTCTGGTAGCACTTATGGAATAACTGAAGATGAATGGATAATTATATGTAATTTAAATAAAATGTTACAAGTTTTTTATGATGCTACAATGTTATTATCTGGCTGTTATTATCCAACCATTATTTTAGCTGCTTTACAAATTTTAAATATTCAAAAAAAATTTGGGAAATATCGTATGGATGCTACTTTTGGACATATGATTTTTTAAATGGAGAGCAAATTTAATAAGTACTTTAGGCCTATTCCTCGTATTTTTGGTTTGGGTGTTCTTATTGATCCATGCTTGAAGGATATTGGCATTCGAAGTTTGTTACAATCCTTGTATGGTAATCAGGTTATAGACTTAGATGATAGAACCATCCTTACTGCTAGTACTCATCATTTAGCTATTAGAAATTATTTTCAAACCTTATATGATGAGTATGCTGCTAGACATGGTGTAACTACACAACAGTCTACAGCTTCGGTTTTTTCGAGCTCATCCCGAGGTAAAAGTGTAAGTTTTGATAGATATGCAATGGTAGCTGAGCTAACTGGTGGATCTGGACTTGGATCGTCATCATCGGAGGTTTCTAAAATAGATGAATATTTTGCTGCTTCTTTAGTTAGATGTCAAGGAAATGCTTTAGATATTTTGCAATGGTGGAAAGTATATGGATCAGTTTCATATCCTATACTTTCCACCATGGTTCGTGACTTACTAACAGTGCAGGTTTCGACGGTAGCTTCGGAATCCGCCTTCAGCACAGCAGGACGTTTGATCGACGATCACAGGACATGCTTGGATCCGTATACTGTACAAGCGGTGATGTGCTTACAAGATTGGTGGAGGTACGAGAAGCGAACGCAAGGTATCGATCGGATGGCTGGAATTGAAGATAAATTTGAAGAATTGGGACTAGCAGATAGATATAAAGAATAAATTGTAGTTTTTATATCTTAGCTTAAAATTTGTAAAGAATTATTTTGGAAATAGTTACAAATGATAGTGATATAGGTGAGTAGGTGCCAACCTAGTTGGGATTTACTTATCTATTGTGATGCGATTAATTCCGAAATAAATTTGCACTTGTAAATTGTAAATGATTTATTAATTATTAATAAAGAATTTGTTTTTATCATTTTTTAGTAGTAATTTATGTCATTTTAAGTAATTAATAAAATTATTGTTTTTATTATTTTTCTTGTCTTTTTTTATAATTTAAAAGTTAAATAAAATTAAAAAATTTTGAAAAAAAAAATTAAAAAAATAAAAAACACCCGGGCCAGCCCGGAACCCGGCCCGGTCTGGCCCGGCCCGGGCCGGGTTTCCGGGCCGGGTCGGGGTTAACAGGCCTACTAATAAGGTTCCGGTGGAGAGAATGAACATGATGAACACTTTGCAGATTTAGAGCTTTCCCAGAGGTCATGGTTAGCTCTATGCATCCACTTCTCATTATTTGTTTGGTGGAGTCATCTGATAAGCTTATGCTTCTTCCACGTAATTCCTGGTAAGTAGAAAACCAAAAGTGATCAATGCAAACATGAATATTAGCTTCGCAATCCAAGTACCAATCAGTGGAGGAAGTAAGAGAAGTTACAAGATAGGATGAAGAGGCTAACCTGAAGGAAGTTGGATTTTCTTCAATCATGTTTACTTTGTTAGATCAATTTCCCTTTGGAGCAGGTTTGGCTGGTTCCTTCTTCCGATAGAAGCAGTTCAAAGCCATGTGGTTGGTTCTACCACAGACATAGCAGAACTTACCATCAGACTTATGGCTGGAATAGTTGGGATTTGATTTAGAGAAAGATTTGTTGAAGGACTGTTGCTTTTTCTTGAATTTCTTCCCTTTGGGTTTGAAATTCCTAGATTTAGGCTTATCCTCTACAAAGTTCACTTTAGCTTTCATTTCAGACTTGGGTTCGAAATTTTGCCTATGTTGGTCTTCAATGTGAATAACCTTGAGGGCTTCAGTTAAGGTTAGATCTCCTTGCTTGTGTCGGAGATCTCCAGCAAATCTAGATCAGGAGGGAGGGAGTTTATCAATCAAACATGAAACTTTAAAGTCATTAGTAAAGGAGTTTCCCTTTGATTGGAGGTGACAGAGGAAATCTTGAAATTCATGAATTTGTTCATTTATGAGTTTGTCATCAACCATCATGAACTTATTGAATGAAGAGGAGGTAAAACACAGAATTCCGGCATCATCATAGTCATATTCTGCTTCAAGAACATTCCATAGGTCTTTAGCACTTTTGAACTCATAATATATGTCATAAAGATTGTCCGCAAGTGTACTAAGAATCCTATGGCAACAATGATAGTTAATTTCTTCTGGTTTCATAGAGCTAGAAAAGAAGGTAGCACCAGAACCAGAAGTGGAAGGAGTAGGTTCAGATTGAGGACCATACACAGGAGAGTTGGAGGGTTAAGATCCACTAGATGAAGACTCAGGAGTGTCTATGGCAGATAGGAGACCTAGGGTGGTGAGCCAGTATCTCATCTAATTATTCCACCGTTTATAGTTAACACTGGTGAACTTTTCAGGTTCAACACTCTTGGAATGATCAGGATTAGGCATAAGTCCGATTTAAGTTAACTAGTCCAGGTATTTTAGAATCTGAAGGAATTAAAGGGTTTTGTCAATACCACTGGACTAGTTACTTAGGAAATTATGACTTTAAAGGATAAGATGCAAGATGAACAGAATAGAACAATCTAAGCAATAATTGCAAGAAATATTTCCTAACATAAAATCAAGTAATTTATTTCGGAAAATATTTATAACAAGTTAACAATTAATTACGAATAAGATAATTAACTGTAATTATTTAAGAAATAATTATCAACAATAATTAACAACTATAAAATTGATGAACAGTAACAGTACATTTCCTGATTGTTCCCCCCTTTCCGGATGAACAGTACTTCTGTTTTTAAGATGAACAGTAAAGTTACTTATTTTAAATCAAACGGAAATTGTAAATTTTTTGAGTGAACAGTAACTTATAATTATTTTAAAATAACAGCTATAACAGTTAATCTTCTTAGATATAAATCACATAAAATTAAGTTATAGCATGCAAATTAATAAATAAATCCGAATGTAGAAAGGAATCAGAAAGTCTAGCCTAATCGGGAGCAGTCATGTAAACACTGTCTTAGAAGATTAAGAACCCGCTTATCGTCCTGACGCAGATGATCCTCTCTCCCCTGGTGGTAAAAACCCCCGGAATCGGCCGACCTCTGAACTCGGGCGAGAGTACAAAGCTTCTGCTCAGATGAAGAAGGTTGTCCGAAAATAACACCAAAATATGGACGAAATTTGCTTTTGAAAGCAGAGGAGAGAAGAGAAAGAAGAGATTTGTTATGTGTTTTCCGAATGTAAATTAGGGGTGTATATCTAGGGTTGAGAAACCCTTAAGGGTCGCTGGATCCAAGCTCATGTTCCCAAATCACGCGTACCCGTTACCCTAATTCACGCAGCCGTTACGCACACAAAAAACGTGCAAAATAAAGCCAGAGAAAACAAAAAACGTGCGTGTGAGGTGCGGCGAGGCACGCGTGATATGCAAAGCCCAAACAATACAAAACCCAAAATACTATTAAAAGCCTAATAAGAGGAGATGCAATTTAAACCACCTAACTATTCATTTTATTTTTCAATGTGAGACTATTCACAAAGGCAATATTGCCTTTTCTCAATAACATAGCCAACATATTATTCATTACATTACCCCCACAAGATTTGCACTCTTATTCTAATTTACACTCAAAAGCAACTCACAACCATACATTAAACAAATCAACAATTGTCGTCTTTCTACTAATCTTTCTACTAATTTTTTGATAGTCAAATGATCCAAATCCATTAAATTAGTGGTCTATCTGTCAACTAAATTTTTTAGAAAGAATCCAAAACCGTCCTTACCTTAAAAGCTAATTTTACCAGCTAGAATAAATGTCTCGCTTATGGACAGTGGAACAATATTTGGAATAATCAAGTGAAAGGGAGAAAGAGAGCCGCAGACCATTCAAAAACAAGCGGATAACATCCCACTTCGTACTCCAGCCTCTCTCCTGTGAACCGAACCACACTGAATTTTTTTCACCACCATCATCTTCTCATTTCACGTGCTATCAAAATTTATCCAATATCAGGTGAAAACCATGGCTTGCCGTTCCATCAACATGTACGGTTCACTGCTCAGGCCACGGAGGATCATCGCCGATCAGTCTCCGGTGATCAGTTTCCGGCCGAACGAAGCAGGAAGATTAGGTGTTAATCGCAGGGTCGTGTTGTGTTGTTCTGCTCCTGAATCCTCCTCCACGGCTACCGGTATATGCACATATGCAAAATAATAATAATAATAATAATAATATCTCGGCTTTTAGAGATTACGACGTAGTCCCTCTTTTTTATAAGTTCCTTTTTAATTCGTTTTATTCCTTTTAGTTTGATATTTGCTAATAACACTCGATAGTCATTGATGCTTCGGCTTTGAATTTCTAGTAACTGACAAGAAGGAAGCAGAGCCAGCAAAGGCAACAACACCTGCAGCTGCGGCAACAACTGGTGTGTATGAATGAGTTCATGGCATAGTTTCCACAAAATGCTGGAAAACAATAAGATGAAAGATTGAATTTTGATATTTGCAAGTTTTCTATAGCTACTGAGAAGAAGGAAGCAGAGCCAGCAAAAGCAAAAGCTTCTCCGGCGAAGCCAAAGAAAGCTCCGGTGAAGCCACTGCCTGAGATGATGGAGGAGGATGTTATCCCCTCGCTGAAAGCAACACTTGAGACTGAAGAAGATCTCTCACAGATTGAGCTCTCTTTTAAAGATAACAGGGTCAGTTTTTGGATTCAACATTATAAATGTATCGGTTGTTTGGTTCACAAAAAATTGCAGCCACAACTGCTACCACAATTGAAATAGCAAAAGGATTATTGAAGCTGCCATTGGAGCAACTTGTTTAGCTGCAATTGTGGTATTTTACCACTGTAGTCATAAACAGGATATCACTCTGTAAATAAGTAAATTGCAATTGATTTGAAAAAGATCACAGTTGCAGTAAAATAAACAACTGGAATATATATATTTCTGGCAAATCGCTCAGTAACAGTTGCGAGTTTCCACAAACCAAATAGCACCATAGTGCACAACGCAAACACAGTATCCAGAAATTAACCCCCAGTATTGCACTAGTATTCACTTGCTTGGATAAAAGAGATCGACACAGATTTTGTCATATCTGATTTGTTTCACATAAAAATATTACCTGATTGCACAAGAGAAGTGCAGCTTCTTTATCAAGTAAAGATTTTTGAATGAACACAAAAACTCCCCGCCCAAATAAAAAACTGCTCTTGCTATTCACTATTAATAGAAACTCAACATGCATTTCTTGCTATCTAACCATTGCTTAATCTGCTGCTAACAGTTGGAAGGTTCTTTCCTAAAGAAAGACGTACCCTACTACTTCTGGGCATTTTTTCCAGATGGAGTCCTCACAGGTACCATCTTCAAACTTCATTTATGACTTGATGTCAGCGGTGCAACAGGATAAATATGTTCACGGATATAGTTGACGTTAATATTTGATCGGATATGATGTATGTTCTTTCCCCCCTAATATGGAAATCCTGATAATTATATCAGTCAAATAGTTAAAGCTATTAATATTATGGTTTTAGATTTCGTGTATTGAAGCCGATTTTTTATGAGTCAGAGACCAACCCTAAGATTTTGTTTCTTGGATACATTTGTGGCTAAGGCCTTGTTTTATTTAGACAGTTCTTAACTTCTTATATCACATGTCCCATATGTGTAAGTTTTGTATGTTTTGTCTCATATCTCATATCTGATAGGTATTTATATTTACATTTTTTATGAGTCAGAGACCAACCCTAAGATTTTGTTTCTTGGATACATTTGTGGCTAAGGCCTTGTTTTATTTAGACAGTTCTTAACTTCTTATATCACATGTCCCATATGTGTAAGTTTTGTATGTTTTGTCTCATATCTCATATCTGATAGGTATTTATATTTACTTTTATTTAGACAGTTCTTAACTTCTTATATCACATGTCCCATATGTGTAAGTTTTGTATGTTTTGTCTCATATCTCATATCTGATAGGTATTTATATTTAC